ACACACACACACACACATATATATATATGTGTGTATATATTATGCGCGTGGATGTTTGTGTGCATATATGTTATGAAGCATGTATGGGATGAAACAATCATTTCATTGTTTCATTTAGAAATAATTGTTGTGGATCTTTTACAAAAAGTTTCTGGATGTTCTTTTCCACTGATTCTCAGGAATATAATTGGGAAAAAGGCGCAGACGAAGGAAAAGATAAAAACTGAAGCACTAAATAAAAATGAAAACGTTAAAATTTTTAGTGGTAGAATTATTTTTATAAAGAATAAACAACAAACTTCGACTGATCTTTGTTATAAAGCCAAATTTCTACCGTAACATTAAAAGGTTAGGACTTGAATTATCAGCTTTAGGTGATCCTTTATCTTATTTCGTTGTACGCTTGTGGATGAGGCGGTTTCTTTTTCTTATGTCTCTATAAGCAAAGTGAAGCAACGTCGTGAGTTACATACGTACTTACACAATATAAGCAGAGAATCAATTATTTTTATAGATTAATATGTACCATAATGCACTTATATTTTTTTTCTGTTTGTCATCACGACGCGTTTCATTTGGTGCTTTATTTCATTGTTTTACTATAACATAAGTAATGATGTTATGTTTACTTTCAAGCTTCCAGAAAGGCATATTTTACTTTGAACTTCAGAAGGATATGTGTGATGGGAAAAGACGATGTCCATTTGATCCGAATTGTTTTATGCTACTGAGAATTTCATTGAAAACCGTATTTTGCCGCTATGTTTTTATCTTCGTTTTATTAGCTCATACATATATTTATATCTCCATGTTTGTAACACTGCAACCATGTCCATCTTCACTTCATGTCATTTAAACGTTTGTGGAACAGCTTATGTACTGCCCTCGTTTTGTTTTTTGTTTTATGAGATTACTTAGATATGACCGGTGAAATTTGGCAATCTCAACGAAGCACTTTGTTGACTCATTCACTATTTGTACGTTATAACATGCGGCGAAAGGTTTTAATTTCAAGGGTTATATTTCTCTTTAGCTTCAATAATTACGGGTTAACGCAATTTTGTGTGGTGTGAGTTTCATATGTCCATTCTTTATATTTTTCTGTCATATCCGTTTTGTATCCTACATCCTCCCATCGTATTATGCCACAAAAATGCATCTCATACAGGTTTTGGAGCGTTTTTTTAAATTTCCATGTCTTTCCATTTGCATTACTTTCTTTCCACTTTATTTTTTGTTCGGTTCTCTGCATGTTTATCCCTTGAATCATGCGTAGTTCTCTGACGATGCGTTATTTTTTATCAGTCCTCGGAAGCTATTTTATCCAGTCCTACCTCGTCATCTTTTTATTGATGTGCCTATGTGAAAGAACAGTGTGATTGATAGGATATGTTTATGTTTCTCAAACATTGTTTATGATTTCATGGGGACTTATTTTTTATGTCATTATCTTTTTTTTTCGGAGTTGGGCTTAATTTTTGTTGTTTCACTATCGATGAATTTCGTTTTTGAATGTTTTGGAATGAAATAGGTAGCATCGGAAAATGCATATGCATATTTTATTGGCTGTATTTCATTTAATGTGAGATTAGTATTTCAACAAATTGGTATGCTGGAATGTATTAGGCATTAAATAAATATATGAAGACTTTTTGTAAATGTATGATGATTAGTTGGATAGCGTTTTAAAAAATTTCCGCTGCTGTGGTATTATTCATTGATTTTTGCCAATATATGAAAGCTAGTCGAATTTTTTTTAAGTTGACGGTGACCGCTAGCGATTAATTTCAAGTAATTTTGCATATTCATTTGTGAATTGATACATTTTTGTGATCCCCATGTTATTACTGGAAATTAGAATTCGAATAATTGTTCGTCTGGTTGTTATTTTATGCCGTCTTATTTGTTTGTGATGGTGAGGCATTTTGTTTCTCTTAATCTGAAATCACAATTTTTTAATCTCATTCTGAGTTTGACACTTGTGAAGTGAACATCTGGTGAAAGTCTTCCAAATCAACAAAGCTTTATCTAAACTTGTCGTAAAAGAAATAATATGTATTTGTGTCGTTGCCTTTCATCATTCTTCAATTTGCTAATATCCTTTCTTGAGTGCTTAGCGCATACGTTTCAAAAATCGAGAAGGAGAAGAGTTTTTTTTCTGTCCCATCTTTGTATCATCATCTCATTTGCCACATCCACTGTTGTTTTCTTGTTGTTGTTGTTGCGGTAAGACAATTTAGATGTAAGAAGTGTTTGTTTGTCTGTTTAGTTTGACGATCAGGTTTATGGGATAGATTGGAAAGGGATTGAGTGCAGTGTTTAATTTATTTATCCATCTTTCGTAAGAATATTGCGAGAGTGTAATTACTATGCAAATTTCTTTCAAATTTAATTTTTGGAATTTAGATTTAAAAAGAATTTTGAATGCGTATCACGAAAAAGGATGGAGATGTGAATTTAGAATATTAAATTATTAAATGAGGAAATCATTCTTTTTTAATTTCCTGAAATTTACTTGATATCTGCGTGTTAATTAGTTGGCGACAACTACATACCATCAGTTAAGTGATAATGGATATATATTTTTATTGTCACTTACAATCATTAGTACTTACGATAATTATATTCATTATTTCACATGTTATCTAATTATATTCACATGTTATCTACAACGTGGATGGGCATAATTCTTCGACAAAACATAAAAATAAAAACGTGCTCCAGATCATTATATATTATTCATGTTTGTTACACAGTGTTACGATTGTTGATTTCTTTTTCACTAATGTGAAAAGAAATTTTGAAATTTTATTTAAGGTTATTGAAGCACCGATTGATTATTGCTAAGTATCAATTAATCGTTTGTTAAGTATCAGTTCATCACTTGATCAGATTAATGTTATAATTTTTTATTTTTTTATGGCGGAGGAGGCAAATAATTGTTCAGTCATTGATCTTCAATTATGCTTGTTTTTTGTTTTTTGTTTTCTGGAATTATTCATTTCGTTTATGAATAAAATAAATTTTCAACCTAAGCAATAATTGCTATTCACGCCTTTATTACATTATGCGTATTTTTCGGAATGGTTTCTTAAAGAAATCTCATTTAACTTCATTTAAAAACTTCGATGAAATTAAATGAAAATTAGAGTGATTAAATAACTAATTTTTAATAAAACGTGAAAAAAAGAGAACGTACTAAATTATAATTACTTTCCCGAACATATCTTTTCGATCATGGAGTTGTTTATTAGTGTAGTGAAATTGAACATGAATATCAAAAACGTGGAAAACATTGATGAAATTGCAAAATCCGAATCTTAACTGGCACGGAGAAGGATCGTTCCACGACTGTCTTGGAAATTGGATTGTAACAGGTGATAACGATAGATCCGAGTGCGGAATGATTGCGGTAGTATGGTTGCGTGCATTGGTAGTTCCCATAATCAATCTAAATTTCGCATATTGATTTTACTGAGTTGTTTAGAGAAATTCTACGACATTGCGAGGGGAAGGAAGAGAGAGAAAAGTGAAAAAGGAAGAAAGAAAGAAAAATATAGAAATCAATCAGATTGGATGGATTTTGGTGAATGAGATGAAGAAGAGAGGAAGGATCAATTAAGAGAGGAGGTGAGATCCTGCTCTTTTGGATTTCTACTGTGTTACCCTACCTCATAGCAAAGGTCGGAGAAAAGTTAGAGCAAATGCAAAAAAGTCATTACTTCCAGAGTGTTTTCTCAGTTTGTGATCGAAATGACCCCAGTGATGTTGCAATGGGCGAGTGAGGAATTCATTCACGTTTATGTCACTGTGTTCGATGTATTCACTTATTTACACTTGGTGCATTCACGTGACGTCACCGCGCTTGACATATTCACGTAATATTATCTTACTTGACGCATTTTACTGCGGATAGTATTTATTTATTGAAATTACTCCAAATGACACCTCTCTCCCTCTCTCTCTTTCTATACACGTATACATATATTATGTATATAATCGCAGTTTTCAGTAGAAAATTTACTCGGTGAAATGATTTTAATAACAACGGGTTCCATTCTGGATTGATAAGTGCGACAAAATGATTAATGATAAGGATAGCATTTTTGCGTTTGTTTTTCCCAATCACTTGGAAATTGTCGCAACCGATCCGCAAACACATAAACGAATATTAACACTTTATAATCCATATCATTTTCCGATCAAGTTTAAAGGTTCTTTTTCTTTTTCTTTTGGAGAAAACTTTGAGATTACTTGAAAGAATGGGGAGCATTTACATAGAAAGTGGAATAAAGGTCAGGTTAAAGTGATTCTTAGATTGTTTGAGCTTTTGAAAAGAAGTTATGTCCGAAAGGAAAGTCGATATTGTCTATCCGATGTAGGAGCTGCGTAACGTGACTTCAAGTTAATGTGTTTGCGACATATATAATGAGTAAACTTCATGGATTGTTATCACTATACCATATTAATTTAGGTATATTAAAGGGGAGGAGACTGAGTAGGTTGCCGAAAATTTTAAGCAAATCGAAAAGTTACACATTAGTTGGCAAATATTAATTGGCAAGCATATGAAAGGGAACGACTTTTTATTTGATGTTATAAGTTCTGTTGGTTGTTATGAAACCATCGGGAATGATTGGCACAAATCTCGTAGCTAAACTTCTCAAGAAAAAATGACTAAATTTTTTCCAAATGTAGTTTCCTAGTATAAAAAACTGTATTCTTTGTTTCCGTGAAATGTACAAATTCACACATATTCTCGGTGATCGAACCATATGGTGTATTAAGAGCATCAAGTTCAATTGACATGTAAGTGTTATGTTTAAACGTTGTATTTTATACACTTCCGAAATTTTTTCTTTATTTTTTCATTCGATAACTTTTCAGAAATATTTGCTCTTATTTAGTAAAACGATAAATTAAAAAATATGAAAATGACAGAAGTTTTTATATAACCTAGAATATAGTAAAAATTATGTATGACTGTTTGATATTCAGATAGTATAAAGGACGTAGAAGAATAAGATTTATAAAAAAGACATGAAATCATCGTAATAAACTATACTTATTTTTCAGTATTATTCGGCATGTCGCCGTAAAATTTCAAGCAAGTCTTGGTCTGGAAACATTTCGTATCGAAATTTTTTCAGTACATAATCAAAAGGTAATTTGTATTGTGGCATATCGTTCAATCGAAGTATCGGTGCATCACATTTTAATTTGACTGTAATTCATGCCAAGATGTATTGCAATATATTTTAGTATATAATTCTAGTTTATGTATGACTCGATTTATGATATGCAGTACATGTTATATACATTCGTTATTTTACAACTATTACCCATATATCCCATTTGATATTCATAACTTCTTATTCGCGTAATCAATATCTTCCTTATTTGCCTAATCAAGTGATGACGCAGCGGAACATTGGAATAGATTATTTGTAAACTTACCATGACAAATTAATTATGATAACTATTAAGCTAATTCCATTTGATTTCTTGTTTAATTAACTAGTCGTAGTCAGGATGTTAATATCGGGGCCAAATGTACAACATAATTTTTTCCTAATCGTTGGAAGACTTTATATCGCTGAATATTCTGTGACACAGTCTTTCCTTTATTTAATATTTATGATGACGCAACTGGATCAACTTTTGAATAAATTGCTAAAATATGTGATCGTATTAATATCACTTTTTCAGCATGTGCTAAAGAACTGTTTTTAATTTCCTTGTATATTTATAAATATTTATTTACAATTTTGTTGTTTGAAGATTTCTGGATCAGTTGATGTTCCTGTTCACATTGTGGAAACTGTGCCAAAATTCAGTCAAAGGCAATGTCATCAATTGTTGCCAACAAGCACTGATCGTTCTTTCATTCGTGATAGCACAAATTCAACACAGGTACTTATCATCTTTTTTATAATGTTCATTACAGACTGCTGAAGCACAAGGGTGTTTATAACACGGTATGTACTTGCATATTTTATAACTTTGATATTGGCTTATCTGTATCCCGTTCATTTATTGATCGTACGGTCTTATTAAAAATTTTGAAAATCAAAAAAGTACTTAAACTTTTTCTTAATTTTTTTTTTTGTATCGATGATAACATCAGCCGCTTTCATTTAAATGAGGCAGTTTACATTTTTTAAGAAGTCCTTTGCAAGTGATAATATTTAAATAGCATAGCTGGAAAGGAAAGACGTAGAAAGAGAAACGTGTTGCATAGAATAATTGGTTGACTTTGATTTTGGATGGTTAAGCGGCCATGTAAAACCAACAGCTACATGTTTTTTTTTTTTCACTGTGATTTTATTTTTGTCGTTTGTGACTCAGCTTTTCTTTTGCAGTCTTTACCATTTTTCCGAGCACGTTTTGATGTAACTTCACCTTTGGTAATGGTATGTGTTGGTGCAGTTGCTGTGTGTGCTGTTGCTTTAATGCTTCCAACTGAAGGATTAGATGTATCAACAGTAGTCCCAAATTGGTTACATCTTTCCGTTCATCTTAAATTAGTTTTCGCCTACATTTTAGGTCTAGTTACATTGGTATTGCTAAGACCAGGTTGATTAAGCACTAATTATTTCTATTGCATTGTAGCATCATTAGATTGTTGTAAAATACTTGTATATAAAAAAGATTCGTTGTATGTTTTATTATGTTGAAAATGCTTCGGGATATTTCTCGTCTATTTATATTTTTATGGAGGTCGCTTTTTCTTCTGAAAAAATATAAACAAATGTATATAAATTGTATGTGTTGTTCCAAACATGTGATTTTTTGGAATAATGCGATTAAAAGCTCAAGTTTGGCAACCGCTTTAAAAGTCAACTGTAAAATTAAAATTAATTTGAATATCGTTCTATAAATTTCAAAATCTCATTTCGTATGGCCTAATTAATGTCTTTCATCAGACTTGTAAATATTGTAATTGAAAATTTTTGTTATAATGACCTGTATATCTTGTGTAGTATGTCGATAATAATTTCGTCTTGATTCTGTGCAGAAATATTTTAATTTTTATTTCCATCTGTGCAGGAATAATGAAGGAGAACAGAGCTCTGGAGCTATTTTAATTTTTATTTTACTAATTCGGGAAGCGCAAATCATTGCGCAGGATATCTACTATAAGCTTTAAAAACAGGCAGTTTGTATATATTGATTTTTTTGCTGAATTTTTGTAAGATTTACGAACTTATGCATTTTGTTTTATACTTTTGGAACTTAATGTGGACACCCTACTAAATGTTAAAAATGCTGATATTTACTTGTGCTAATTTACCGTATAGTTTTATCGATCTTTCCGTTTCGATTTCAGATAAATTATCGGATACTGATGTTTTCCAAGGTCTGCTCAAATTATCGTGAATCCTCCTATTAAGTTTTCTTTTTACAATGACATGCAGTTTTGATAAAATTCTGCGCACTTTTTCATTCACTGATATCTTATCGGTCAGTTAGACTATTTTACTATACATCCTTCTTATCATCCATATTTCGGTTTATTGTTGGAATTTCAGCTTAGTTTAATGCTTGCTTTTTGCCAACAGTTAAATTAATGACTCTTACTTTAATCAAATTATTCGGTTTGTAACATATAATATTTGCAAATAATTTGAAAAAAGGAAATTTCTTCATAAACTTTTGATTTCCGCAGCGTTACCGCTGCTACCAGGATTTTTGCATTTCAAAAAGGTGATCAATGCTCGGATTAGAATTCGTTTCATAAATCGCCATAGTAGGTCGGAAGATTTTCCTGTTTCTAAATATCGAGTAAGAAGAGTTCGATTGGTACCGGATGTATCAGATCGTCCGGTGCCATGAACATCAGTTATACCACCAGTTGGTTTAACTACAGCTCGCTTGCTGAATGTTACGAGTAAATCAAGTACCACACCATTTGTCCATCCAAAGCCATACTAAATTACTGTATGATTGATTCCATGATAGAAGATGAAAGTTGCTAACCGCTGTGATACAAAAAAAAAAGAAGATTTCATAGATTAGGTAAAATCATCATCTTACCTGATTCTCATATTCACCACCTTTAGCTGCTCGTACATACTCTTTTGCAACGTCGTATTTTTCCCACATTTTATGATCTTTCTGATATAGCGCATAATTTCGATTGATCCATTTATTGGCAATCTCAAATGCACGTTGTTGCATTCTAAAATATCTTTTAGTATTGGAATAATTTAACTCAGCTGCTTTAATTTGTATGGATAGTATCACTTTTTGCTACCTTTTTCTTCCTTCCATTTTTTCTCAATTTTTAGGCTACCAAAATTTTGTCATAATATATAGTTATCTACTTCTCGATGGCTGCCTTCTCTTTCCTAAAATTTTTCCATATCATAAGAAGGGACAAACGTTGGATTATTTGATTTACGCAGTCCTTCGATGATCATATGATTTATCGGTGCCCAACCATTTGGATAATCCCATTGTTGATTGGTGCCTTTCATTAAGCTATAATAATTAAAATTTAAAATAAAAAAAGTTATGAGAATGATCTTTTAGATCATCAAAATATTGCCTAGATTATATTCAAGAAACCAAACTATATCTGATACTAGAAAAATTTTTCATGGAAAAATGTTAATTGTTCAAGAAATTAATGAAGTTAAATTAATTTAATGACAGAGAAAAAGATTTGTTTGTTGTTAAATTCTAACGTTTTCCTCGATCGTTTTTTCTATTTGTAATTATTAATTAATTGATCACTTTAAATTTGATTTCAGTCTTACTTCATTATATGGTCTCATTCTTAATTATAATCACCGTAACCTTGCCGGTATGCCACCTGGAAATTGTAATAATCCTTTTCGTTGAAGTGTTTCCAATACGTCAACCATCATACCACTATTTAGCATATGATAACATTCGGTGAAGAGTGGAACAGCTAAAGACGGATATGCGTCATCGTAATGCTCCCCTGTTTTTACGTTCAAATCGAACCATGCACCTTCGCGTGTGTCAAAAAAGACTGCCTCAAATGTATCCACAAAATTCGATCGTTCTTGGTTCAATTCATCACGCCGAGTAAGATTACCTGATGGTAGAATAAAGCAAGAATGAATTTAAATTTTCATTGAAAGTAATTTTAATAAAATCATTTCCCATATATGGATGAATGAATTTTCTCTTGTTATTTTTAGAATAATTCCGGAATCAACACATTCCGCACCACTATTTTAATATATCTGAAAAATTACATAATTGTTTTAGGAAAAGAGAATTAAATAGAAATTACATACATCCGATCCGCAGAGATTTCAGGAGAAATGATCTTATTGAATTCAAAAATTTCTCAAATTCTTCCAAAATTTGGAAAATTTTCGTTTTCAAAATCCTGGTACTCTCACAGGTTGAAGAAATGAAATGATTCCGTCATTTTCTACCAAATTTTTGTCGAAAATTTCGAAAAGATTTCAAATTTTCATTTTTTTCGGAACCCAAAGCAGTGTAATTAATATAATAATATTTCAAGTTTTAATTTATAATTTATATTGTTTTGAAGAATGATAAATATATCACCAATTTCTCCTTGAAGATGTGCCAGAATTTTCATATTCCAATACATAAAAGCGTTCAGATCGGCCGGGATGATGTCAGATGTAACGATAGTATCCATACTTTTCCGGTTTTGAAACCATCGACTGCTAAAATCCCAACCGGACTCAGCAGCACTTGCTATATCACGCCATAACTTACGCCTTCTTTGTCGATCAACTCGTTCAGCTGTTTGATAATCTTCACGGTATGATTCCGGTCTGAAAAATACCGTTCCTGCTAATCTTTTTATCTTTCTTAGATATTTATTTGTTTAGCAAATGAATTAATCGTTCGAACTAATAAAATAAATGATTATTAGACCAAGAATTTTGAATTTGTTACCGTGGTACATTGCTATCTGCACGATAATGAAACACTGAATGATTTCTTTTATTGATTGTAACATTAATCATTCGATTTGATTTCCAAAAACTGAATTCCTAAAATTCATTTTCTTTAAAAGCTTTAAACTTTACCACAATTTATCTTGTCATTTACTATACACCTAAGATCAAACACAGGATATTCAATTTGAGAAAATTGTAGGATATTTGATAAGAAGTTAGCCATTCCATTTTCATTAATGAACTGCTAGCACTATCGGCGATAGCTTGAATTACATATTCATTTAGCTGGCAAATCAAAAGTTTAAATTACGAAAGGAGATTCTAAAATGAAATATCAAATATTTCGAAAAAATTTTGCTAAAATTAAAAAACTAGCCATTTCCATGGTATCCATTGTGGAACGCAGAAATTCATCATCTTCCGTTGCCATATAATACTCGTAAACCATTGGTATGAAAAATGGCGGCTGTGATCGGCGCAAATAGTACACTCGACCGCCATTCGGTATGAAACCAATTGTTTTTACCAAATATTCAAAATTAAGAATCATTCGACGTGATGTTTCCTGCATCCCTAAATATTGCAGTATTATATTCGGGCAAATAATCCTATCGGATTTTAAGTAACCATTTTTATGCTTTCATGCTTACCTGATGCTAGGAGGCCTTTAATAACCCAGTAAGTATCCCAGTAATAGAATTCTCGAAAACGACCACCAGGAACGACAAATTCATATGGTACATATAATAATGAATGTCGTTCTGGATATTTCATAACCTGAAATTAGAAATTTTCAGAAGCTAATTTGTTCTGTCCGACATTTTCCTTTATCTCTTTTTTGTTTATTTTTATTTTTTCCGTCTAAATATCATTTAAAAATATCATTTGAATATTTTGATGTATCAATTAATATTGTATGAATAAATTTTGTGGAAAATTTTAAATTTTTTTTGAAACTATCTTTACTTCTTTTTTAATTGTTCGACATAAACTTTTCCAAATTGAATTGACATTTAATGCAAATTGGCGCAATTGTGGATCGGCTATTGATAGAAGTTTCTCTGGTTGCTCTTCCCAGTCCACTAAGTCACATCTATTAAGGAAATATTTCTTAATCAATATTCTTAATTTTGATAACAACCGTGCGATTTTAACTTTCGCTCGAATTGTTAAACTTAATTTTATTAAAATTTTATTGTACTGTCAAATAGTACTTTTTTTACATTCCTAATTTATTAATAATATAATATTGTACGATATTCGAGTAAACAGATTGAAAGTGCAAGAATGGTATTGGTAGAAATTCAAGAAGTATAAAATCATTTCTTTATAAATTGAGAAGTTGAATAAAATTTCAACAGAATTGAAATTAATCTTTATAATTATTACACAATGAGTGAAAAGAACATAACATTAATGTGCAAAATTAATAATTCTGAAAGGTTGTAATGAATAATTTGAGCTAAAAAAAAACTACTAAGAAAAAAAAAAGTTAAGTAAATGGTTTGGAACCGTAATCATCAGATTTACATATAAATATTATACTAAAGAGATTTATTAAAATGAACGAAATGATCTATCATACTTTTCTAATTCATGTCCTTCTTCGTCAAAATTTTCATCAATAAATTGTCGTACAGCTTCACGATCATTTACCGTGATATTACGTGGAAATTTTTTTTTAAAATCTGCAGCAATTTCAGCAGGATCTCGCCTTAGCGGTTTATCAACAAACGTTTTAGAATCTTTGAAAATGTTAAGCATCATTACAGCATGAAGTAGTTCACCCTGACAATAAATTATGTAATTGGGAGAATGATTCTCGTTGCACGCCCATTCCGGAGCTTCAACCGCATTGCTTATCACATCTTCATTAGTCGGAATTGCAATATATTGTCCATCTTTCGATTCCGTCATCACTTTTATCTCCGCATCGCCACTACCTTTACCACTTTCACTCGTACTGGTACTTTCGGGAGTGAGAGCACCCATTATTTTGCTACTGCTACCTACCGTATCACTCGCAGTGGTAATATTTATCATCTCGACATTGTCGATTCCGATAATTAAACGTTTTTGTAGCGCTTTGCATGCCAGTAAAACTGTTCGTATGAAATCAACGGCAGCAATTTGTTGCTTCATTAATGGTATCATTTCTAATTTATTTTCATCCAACAAATTCACCAACAATCCACATTCGCTTATTACTTTAAGCCATCCTTCTCTATGATATTCTTTAATTGTTGCTAACTTTGTCATAATTGATCCATCATCATACTTATATATTATTATCGCAATAATTACAAATAATAATAATAGTGCTAAAAGTATAAGTTTTCCTTTTCCCATCCTGAAATACACTCCCATTAATTAATTATAACTGTATTATTTTAGTAATTTTGATGCCACAAAACTACCGAAATAGGATGAATGGAAATGAGTTACGGTATGACGGTAGGATTGTTACTGCCTATGAAAATATTTATCGGTATTATTATGAATTAATCTTAATTAATAATATGATCTGATATAAAATGATATATATCCATCCACTTTCAGGACCGACGTAATAACGATATAAAGCAATCCCATAATGAGAACTTAAAGGAAAAATAGTCTTGACCTTCCTGCACCTTTACTTAATCCAAAATAAGATTGATATTAATGTTAAATGAGAGGTATGATTGAATATGTGTGGCAATGGTGCAA